AAAAGAAAAAGCAGCCATCCGTAGACCATTCAAAGAAATCCAGCCAAAAGGAGAAGAAAGGCCACGGAGAAGAGAAGACACGGAATAGGTGAGGGCCCACGCAAGTTTCCTTACGTATTTTTCGGAGTATAAGACGCACCAAGATTTTGAAGATTTTTAAAAAAGTTTTTGCACTCTGCAGATCTCCCAAAAACGGCCCCTTTTTTTGCGAAAATGGGCCTGTTTTATTTTTTAAAAAGGGCATGAATAGCCTTTAGGAGGCTTGTAAAGTGCTCAAGGGGGGTGGGGGGGCAAAAAAGAGCAAAATAGCCCGTTTTTTGCTCATTTCTGCCCTCCCCAGCCCCCAGGAGCACTCTGAAAGCCTCGTAAAGGCTTTGCACAGCCATTTTGGTGAATTTCGTAAGGTTTCTGGAGGCAAAAACATGCTGTATTCAGTGTATAAGATGCACCAGGATTTTCAGCCTCTTTTTTGAGGGGGAAAAGGTGCGTCTTATACTCCGAAATACAGTAACCTATGGAGATTCTCAGTCATCCAGGTCATGGTTATCCCAAAGGCGCTTTTTTGGGAGGCAAATGGACTTTCTGGTTTTTTTTTGAAGACGTTTCACTTCTCCTCCAAGAAGCTTCTTCAGCTCTGACTGGATGGTGGGGACTGGAAGGATTTATGCTCCTTGCAGACAGCTGGTCATTTGCATCCTTTGAGAGGGTCGTTGAGGCCACTTGGAGGTTCGTCTGTGTCCTCAGAGTCACCTGAGTGGTGCAAATGGGTGTGGGGCCTTCTTGGAACTGCTGAAAGGACTGTGTTGTAAACTGGAGTTAGATGATGTCGTATCCCTCCCCCTCTGTTGAGCATTCACCAAGCTGCCTCAATGGCTCTCTAAAAGGATGGAAATGACACAGCTGTCTGCAAGGAGCATAAATCCTTCCATTCCCCATCATCCAGTCAGAGCTGAAGAAGCTTCTTGGATGAGAAGTGAAACATCTTTACAGAAGACACAAATAAACCTCCAAGTGATCTCAAGGACCCTCTAAAAAGGATGCAAACGACTATCTGTCTGCAAGGAGCATAAATCCTTCCGTCCCCCACCATCCATTCAGAGCTGAAGAAGCTTCTTGGAGGAGAAGTGAAACGTCTTCAAAGAAAACAAAGGAAGTCCAGTTGCCTCTTGAAACAAAGCATATTTGGGACAACCATGACCTGGAGGACCGAGAATCTCCATAGACTTTGGGATGAACATCCTTCGAAAGGCGCAGGAGTAAGAACAAATTTCCAGAAAAACTGCAAATGACAGGAACCATTTGCGCTTCAGTTTGAGAGGCAGGCAACACAGACTCATCCTCAACAACCTGCACCTGTCTTCAACAGTGAATGGACACAGGTGAGAAAACATCCTGCAGCCAAGACGGCTCCCACAACCATTTGCACCACTCAGGTGACCCCGAGGACACAGATCAAAACTCCCAAGTGGCCTCAATGACCCTCTAAAAAGGATGCAAATGACCAGCTTTGTCTGCAAGGAGTATGAATCCTTCCGTTCCCCACCATCCAATCAGAGCTGAAGAAGCTTCTTGGAATGAGAAGTGAAACGTCTTCAAAAGAAGAAAACCAGAAAGTTTAGCTTCCTTTTGAGGAAAAAAGCACCTTTGGGATTTCTCCATGACTGGAGAATCACTATGGACTCTGAACTGGTGTCCATTGAAAGTTTTTTGTTTTAAGCTGCTGCTCTAAATACCGTATTTTTCATAGTATAAGGCACTCCGAAGTATAAGACGCACCTAGCTTTTGGGAAAGAAAACAAGAAAAAAAACCATGCCTCCCAGAAATTTGCTTCCTTGTAGCAAACTGCCTGTTCCAGTTTCAGCACAGACCTGATTAGTGCAAGCAGCTGATTGTCAGTTGGATCAGCCTCCCGACGATCAGCTGTTTCAGGCCGCAGGGATTGCCTATTGCTGCCTCCACGTGCCCCATTTTCGGCCTCTGCATTCCATTTTTGGCCTCTGTGTTTTCGGCCTCTGTGCGCCCCATATTCTGCCTATTCTGATCCCCGCCGCCCAGAACAGGCAGAAGATGGAGCGTGTGGAGGCCGACAATGGGGCACGCAGAGGCAGCAATAGGCAATGGCAATCCCTGCAGCCTGAAACAGCTGATGGTCGGGAGGCTGATCTAACCGCCAATCAGCTGTTTGTGCTAATCAGGCTGTGCTGAAATTGAAACAGAGCCGAGGTGGCGCAGTGGTTAGGGTGCAGTACTGCAGGCCACTTCAGCTGACTGTTATCTGCAGTTCGGCGGTTCAAATCTCACTGGCTCAGGGTTGACTCAGCCTTCCATCCTTCCGAGGTGGGTAAAATGAGGACCCAGACTGTGGGGGCGATATGCTGACTCTGTAAACCGCTTAGAGAGGGCTGAAAGCCCTATGAAGCGGAATATAAGTCTAACTGCTATTGCTATTGCTATAACTCCCAGAATTCCCCCAGTCTGAATGCTTTATGATGGGTGGACTTCAGCTCCCAGAATTCTGGTAGTTGAAGTCCACACCTCTCCAAAGAGCTGGGATTGAGAAGCATTGCCTTCCTTCTTGAAGGACACCTGAACGTCCAGGTATACCTTTCCCCTTCAGGCCCCTCTCTTGATCGAAGGCCGGAGTTTCTGGAATCAAGGGCTGGAGGATGGCTAGTATTGCACACAACCTCTTTCCCCGCAATCCTTAATTCGCTGCCAGAAATGCTCTTCCTGGGACAGTCAAACCAGCTCAGCCCCCACCCACCAGGGCCGTAAGCTCACCTGATCCCCCCCTTTCCCTTTAGGACATCAAGAGGTGTCTGAGCGCGTTAGAAGAGCTGGGCAGCTTGCAAGTCACTTCACAGATCCTGCAGAAGCACACCGACGTCGTGGCTACTCTGAAAAAGGTATGTGGTGCCACGGAGGACGATTGGCGGTGGCGGCTATTTTATCTCCCCCCCCCCACTTGTACAGATAATCCTCAACTTCCAACAGCGCATTTAATGACCAAAGTTTCAACGGCGCTGAAAAAGGGGACTTATGACCGTTTTTCGTGGTTACGACTGTTGCGACATCTCCCTGGCAAAATTTGAATGCTTGGCAACTGACTCATATATACGACATTTGCAGTATCCTGGGATCACGCGACCCCCTTTTGCAACCTTTGGAGGAGCAAAGTCAATGGGGAAATCCGATTCTCTTAACAACCGCGTGGCTTAAGTTAACAACTGCAACGATTCACTTAACAACTGTGGCAAGAAAAGTCGTTAAAACGGGGGCAGAAGCAAAGGTCTCCCTTAGCAACAGAAATTTTGGTCTCAGTTGTGGTTCATAAGTCGGGGACGACCTGTACTCTTGCCGCCTCCTCCTATTTTCCCTACAACAACCCTGTAAGGTGGGTTAGGTTGAGAAAGAGAGAGAGAGAGACACGGAGAGACAAACAGAAAGAAAGGGAGAGAGAGAGAAACAATAGCAATAGCAATAGCAGTAGACTTATATACCGCTTCATAGGGCTTTCAGCCCTCTCTAAGCGGTTTACAGAGAGTCAGCATATTTGCCCCCAANTTGACTCACCCTTCCATCCTTCCGAGGTGGGTAAAATGAGGACCCGGATTGTTGGGGGCAATATGCTGACTCTGTAAACCACTTAGAGAGGGCTGCAAGCCCTATGAAGCGGTATATAAGTCTAACTGCTATTGCTATTGCTAAACTGAAACAGGCTTTTTGCTGCAAGGAGGCAAATTGCTGGGAGCTAGAGGCCCAAGGGTGGGGGATGGCGGGTGGGCAGGGCTAGATTCAGATGCACCCAAATTTTGACCCTCTTTTAGGGGGTCTTATACTGCGAAAAATATGGTATGACCAGGGAGTTCTCTGCATTCCGTCCCTCATCTGTCTTTGATGCTCCCTGCAATTTTGGGGCATCTGAGTGATACTTCCGAGCAGAGTTGGTAGCCTGCCAGACCGGAGCGAATACTTGGAAAAATACTTTCCTATTTCTCTGCTGCCTTTTTCTCTCTCTCTCTGTAGGTCTCTGAAATCTGAACGAGGCAGGAAGAAGTCTGATCTGCCAGAAAGAAAAGTGGAGAAGAAAAAAGGTAACAAAAAAAAAAGAAGAGAAAAAGAAAATAGCCGGAGGGTGGTGGTGGTAGCCGAGGGCCTTGAGTGTTACCTACTTGGGAGGTGGGCTTGCATGTTGGAGGTCGTAGAGATGATGGGGGCCTAGCATCCATGTCAACAGAGGTTGGGCCTTCACAGAAGAACAGGCTTGGAAGAGAACTTTAAGGTCTTCTAGTCCCAACTTCCCCCTCAAGCGGGAAACCCTGTAACTTCCTGGACAAATGTTTGCCCAGCCCCTATTTTTCATTGTCTCTGATTGCCTGGACCTAGAGCAGGATATACGCCTAGCCACTCAAGGCCACTGTAGAGGCAGCTGCTGGGGGAATCCCATTTAGGCTGGCAGGGCAGACTTTTAAAATACCCTTCCTCCTGTTGCAGAGCCCACAGTTGAAGAGAAGCTCCAAAAATTGCACAGCGAGATCAAGTTTGCCCTCAAAGTGGACAATCCGGTAAGCTGTTTGGAGCCAGTTTGATCTAGGGGTTAAATGACCAAGCTAGAAACCAGGAGAGAGAGAGTTCTAGTCTTGCCTTAGGCAAGCAGGAAAGCTAGCGGGTGACTTTGGGCCAATCAGCAGGAGATGGTCAGTTCTAGTCCCGCTTTAGATATGAAAGCCAGCTGGGTGACTCTGGGCCAATCAGCAGGAGACGGTGAGTTCTAGTCCCGCCTTAGGTATGAAAGCCAGCTGGGTGACTCTGGGCCAATCAGCAGGAGACGGTGAGTTCTAGTCCCGCCTTAGGTATGAAAGCCAGCTGGGTGACTCTGGGCCAATCAGCAGGAGACGGTGAGTTCTAGTCCCGCCTTAGGTATGAAAGCCAGCTGGGTGACTCTGGGCCAATCAGCAGGAGACGGTGAGTTCTAGTCCCGCCTTAGGTATGAAAGCCAGCTGGGTGACTCTGGGCCAATCAGCAGGAGACGGTGAGTTCTAGTCCCGCCTTACGC